ATCCCTAAGTGGCCCCCTCAAGGATTGAACTCACAACCCTGGGTTTAGCAGGCCAATGCTCAAACCACTGAGCGAGGACTTTAAGTCTCGCTGCCCAGTCCTTCTATGTTCTGGGTTTGAATTCCTGACAAATCTGGAAGAGGTCTTTTCTATGGCCTTTTCCCAAGCACTTGAGACAACTCAAGTGTGGGTCACTGTTGGGCATAGGCTTCCCACAGAAGCACGCCTTAAACCCCGGGGACCAAGGCATGCCCTGGTGCCAGGGGCCGGGACCTCCTCTCCAGACACGGAGAGGTGCCCTGCTAGCCTTAACTTGCTAAGAATCTACTAAAACTACTAATTTTAAAACACTACAACTAACTATAGATAACTATACACAAATAGCCGATTAAGGACAACCACCAAAAACTTTTTGCCAAGGCAAAGAAAGGGGAGTTCCGAACAGTCATCACGGGTGTAAGAAGGAACTGAGGAGTGAGGGATCGGCAGGGCCCTCTTATACTGACACTATGAGTGTGTGGCACGAGGGGGTTCTAAAGCTGAGTTGACAGATACCACTAGAGGAAACATTTCTGACAGCTGTGCTCGGGGCACGCACACACCTAAATAGGAATGGACATGTGCAAGCACTAGAATAAGAAGAGGAATTAAGGTTTGTAATTTTTCTGAGAGAGAGGGCTATACAAAATATGGGAATATACTCAAAATGAGAACAAGAGCAAATATAACGAGCAAATATCTATACCCTGAAGGGGGTTTTGTATCATTCCATGGAAATGTTGAAAAAATCTAACCCCTACTATTCCATCTCTTGCTCATTAATGAAGAGGTGATGGCTCATTTCGATTCTGAACACATTTGGCTTACTGTAAGTATTTTTCTCCTCCCAACTATACAGAATGAACTCTTTCAAGGGGAATTTTCTTTTCCCTGTCACAATTGACACTATCTAAAATTAGATGTGTAAAGTGACATGATCTCATTCGTTGACTCAACTAAAAGCTGTTGGTCTGCAGTAATTCTGAAATCAGACGCAATTCTGATACATATTAGCAATATGCACTTTTGCCTAGAAACTCAGAAGTTGCTTTTCACATCCAAATCATCTTCAAAATTCTCCTCTTGTTTATGCAGGTACATGTGTTAATCCATCCTTCAACATTTTCCTCTCCCGTCTTCCCACCCCAGACCTTCCAGGCTAAACCCTCAGGAACCCTAAACCCTAAATCTGAGGAAGAATGCTGCCAGCTAATAAGACAGATTTTTCATGCCCACATTTTCTGTATCTCTCAACTCCCTTCATCCCATGAGAGGGGGACATACAAGGAGTATTTACAAAAGCCTCATAACACTGGTGCTTGTCCATTACTTAAAAGTGTATTGGAGCCATGTGTGGTATATCAGGATATCTAACATAATTCATCCAGCACTGTTGTAAGAAGTTACATATAGAGGTATTTACAGACACTAGATTGAAACCAAGCTAACTTTCAATTCATTTATCAAGTTCCCATATAGGAGAGGTGAATGAAACATAGAGCAAAGAAATGTAGGCCTAGTCTACACTAAAAAACATTTACCAGGATAGTTATACTGGCAAACTCTCCTAGCATAGTTGCAGTTTTTGCTGGTATAGATTACACTGGTTCCTCCAATGAAATATGCTATACCAGCAAGAGCAGTTTTTTTGCCAGCATAACTGCATCTACTCTAGGGCTTTTGTCGGTATAGAAATGTTGTAAAAAACTCACCTCACACTCTCATTACTATACTGGCAAAAGTTTCTAGTGTAGACCTGGCCTAACACTGTATGCCAAGTAGTTCAAGGGTAAATCAAGTGTAAATGGGATGGGTCTTGCTGCCTCTGGTTCCTTACTTCCTATTTACCAGGCAATGGGAGTGTTCAGTGCAAATTCAATTACTGTGAAGTATGTTTACTTCACCAGCAAACAAAGTAATGGGAGAAGATATGATTTCAAAGAGAAAAGTAGTAGAGTTTTTGTTTTCAGCTGAAGCCCAGATACAGAGAGCTGGGCCTCGGAATCATGAAAGCTGAAAAGAGTGAAGCACAAACAAGAGATTTATGGCTAAGATATACTATTCAATAGCTGGAAGAATTGATAACAAAACCAAACAAGATTAAAAAAGAAGGGCATTGTTATCTGATATCAGCTTTTAAAATAGCAATTGTTAAATTGCTTCCCAACTCTTACGAACACAGTGGGCTTCATTTCAAAGACTTATATCCATATATCTGAAGTGAAACAGGTTTTAGTGGCACCAAAACCAGCTAGACTTCTAGACCCACTTTTCAATGGGGGCTGCTTAACAGCAAGATTTGTAGAGGATATCTAAAACTTGAGACAAAACTCAAAGGTAAGACAGGACTAGTGCAATTCACAATTCAATGTCCAAAAGAAGCTGAATTTGAGAGATTTGCACATGAATGCTATTAAAATAACCCCTTCGAACCATATGCTTCTCCACTGCTCAGAAGCCTCCTGAGGTTTGTGCATGATTTTTTTTTTTTTTTTTTTTTAAAGGTAAGTCTGTTTGCTTATGAGGGAGAAAATATTGTCAAGAAACAGGAGGGGCTTTGACTGCCACATCCAGAGCTCGCAGACCCAGTTTTATGCATTTAGCAGGGCAAAGTGGCCTGGATTCAATCATGGCTATACAGTTGGACATTTGAAAACAGCTTAGACAGACAGATTAATTGCATTTAACTGCTCAGAAGCTAAACAGCTCAAATCACTATCTGTAAGCATATTACTCAGCCAATTTTTAATACATTTATGTGGCTCTTGCTATACACCAAAAACTCCAGATGTGTCTTTGGAGATGCCTGGAACTGCTCCTATGATTGTCCAAAGACATCCAAATTGGAACTATTAAAAAAAGGAAGGAAGGGTCCTGAGTTTAGGGAGACTGCTCAGTTAACATATGCAAAAGATTTGAGAGATCTGAAACACAAAGGAGATACAGTTGCCCTCATACTTGAAACCACCCTACCTGTAACATTAGTGAAGCAGGAAGAACGGAAAATGAGATTCACAAGCAACTGAATTTTCAGATGAAGAAGTCTACCTGATCCTAGAGTACTGTTAAGGTGGTAAGCAGTGAGGAATGAAATTGACATTTGGGGGGAGCTATTCTCATCTCCACAAATGCTCAACTACTATTATATACTAGGAAGTTAAGCCTATGGATAGGAGAAGAATAGAGTTGTAGCACATGAATGAGGCAGCAGAAGCAACTTATGCATCCTTGATGAGCCAATAGTAAGATAATCATGCAACTAAACAGGCCTTGATTAGCAAGGGGAAGGAAACCAACTAATAAGAAAAGAACCCAAAGGAGGCATTAGCAAGTTCTGGATAAATTGAAAGGAAATCTCCCTACTAATAAAAGATAAAAACAAGAATAAGATATTTACAAATCCTGATGACCGTAGATTTTTGCTGGCCCATTTATACAATTTACTTTAGAGTTCATTAAGGACTTGTCTACACAGGGAAATTGACCCACGGCCAATGGGAGCTTCAGGGGTGGTACCCAAAGACAGGGCAGCGCACAGCAGAGCCGCCTGCCCCATCCCACCCCACCCCACCTGCAGGAGCCACTGCCGGACATGCTGGACACTTCTGGGAGCGGCGCGGGGCCAGGGCAGCCAGGGAGTCTGCCTTAGCCCCGCTGCATGCCACTGCCACCCCAGAGCCGCTCGAGGTAAGCGGCGCTGGCCAGAGCCTGCATCCCAAACCTCTTCTGCACCCCGCACTCCCTCCCGCACCCCAACCCCCCGCCCTGAGCCCCCTCCCACCCCCCCTCCCGCACCCCACCCCCCTGCCCTGAGCCCCCTCCCACACCCCCTCCCGCACCCCAACCCCCTGCCCCAGTCCTACATTCATGGCCCGGCATACAATTTCCCCACCCAGATATGGCCCTTCAGTGGACATGAAGAATAATTGATCACCACCCTTTTTATAACAACCATTAATACAGTGGTTCTCAAACTTTTGTACTGGTGACCCCTTTCACATAGCAAGCCTCTCAGTGTGACCCCCCCCTTATAAATTAAAAACACTTTTAAATATATTTACCATTATAAATCCTGGAGGCAAAGTGGGGTTTGGGATTGGGGCTGAAAGCTCGCGACGCCCCATGTAATAACCCACGAGCCCCTGAGGGGTCCCAACCCCCAGTTTGAGAACCCCTGCATTAATATATCTGAATACTTATCAGTCTTTTTTCAAGACAATATATGCCCAATTTTTTTAACCTTTCCTCATGATAACAGGTTTAGAAAACCTGACATTTTTGTTGCTTTCCTCTGGGATCTCTCCCCAAACACAGCCACCCCCAGCTCCACCCATACACAGCCCCCCTCTGGCCACCCCCCTATACACAGCCCCCCCTCTGACCACCCCCAGCTCCCCCCAAACACAACTTCCCTCCGACCACCCCCAGCTCCCCCCATACACAGCCCACCCTCTGGGTCCCCCCCAAACACAGCCACCCCCAGCTCCCCCCAAACACAGCCCCTGTCTCTGGCTCCCACTCAAACATAGTCCCCCCTCCGGTCATCCCCCAAACACAGCCCCCCTCCGGCCACCCCCAGCTCCTCCGTTACACAGCCCCCCTCCGGCCACCCCCAGCTCCTCCGTTACACAGCCACCCTCCAGCCACCCCCAGCTCCCCCCAAACACAGCCCCCGCCTCTGGCTCCCACTCAAACACAGTCCCCACTCCAGCCACCCCCCAAACACAGCCCCTCTCCGGCCACCCCCCAAGTCCCCCCAAACACAGCTCCCCTCCGACCACCCCCAGCTCCCCCCAAACACAGCCCCTCTCCGGCCACCCCCCCCAGCGGCCCCCCCACAGCCCCCTTCCGACCACCCCCAGCTCCCCCATAACACAGCCCCTCTCCGGCCACTCCCAGCTCCCCCATAACACAGCTCCCCTCCGACCACCCCCAACTCCCCCCCTGCACTTTCAAGTCACCTGCCAGGCAGCCTCGAAAGCACAGACGGGACCCTCCCGACAACGGCTCCACCCCGCCTCCCGCGGGGGCCCGCCCAGGAGAGGAGCCTGCGAACCATCGAGAGCTGCTGCCAGAGCGGTACTAGAGGGTGAAAGGAGGCCTCCTAACCATAGAATATGCGGCTTCCGAACAGAGCGGCGTGGCACCGTCCTAACCATAGAGAGCGCGGGCTCCGGACAGAGCAGCTGTAAGCTGGCGGGGGAGGTCTCCTGACTACAGCAAGGGACCCTGTCCAGTGGTGGGGAGTCCTCTTAACCACAGAGAGCGCTGCCGCCTGTTTCCTGTACAAAGGAAAGCGGGTCTCCCCGCCCATGGGGGGGTACATGTGGGCTCCGTGGAGTCAGCCTTGCGTGGCAGGGCCACATTCCAGTATAGTGGTTTCTGTGTCACACATGGCCATGCCATGTTCCTGTGTCATGGCATTTGTATCACATGTGAAGTTGGCATGACCTCACATCACAGTAGGGTGACCAGACAATAAATGTGAAAAATCGGGGTAGGGGGTAATAGGAGCCTGTATAAGAAAAAGACCCAAAAATTGGGACTGTCCCTATAAAATCGGGACATCTGGTCACCCTACATCACAGTGACACATGTAGGGTTGCCAGGTGTCTGGTTTTCTACCTGGTCAAAAAGGGTCCCTGATGGCTCTGGTCACCACCACTGACCAGGCCGTTAAAAGTCTGGTTGGCAGTGCAGAGGGACTAAGGCAGGTTCCAGGAAGCAGCAGCGTGTCCCTTCTCTGCCTCAGGGCAGCCAGGTGGCTCTGTGTGCTGCCCCCATCTTAAATGCCAGCTCCACAGCTTGCATTGGCTGGGAACTGTGGCCAATGGGAGCTGTGGGGGCAATGTCCATGGACAGGGCAGTGTGAAGAGCTGCCTGGCTGTACCTCTGTGTAGGATCTGGAGGAAGGACATGCTGCTGCTCCTTCTGGGAGCCACCTGAGGTAAGCACCAGCCAGAGCTTGCACCCCGACCCCTCCTGTCCTCGGAACCCCTTGGTCCCAGCCTGGAACACCCACCTAACCCCAAACCCCTCATAGAGTCATAGAATATCAGGGTTGGAAGGGATCTCAGGAGGTCATCTAGTCCAACCCCCTGCTCAAAGCAGGACCAATCCCCAATGAAATCCCCAAATGGCCCCCTCAAGGATTGAACTCACAACGCTGGATTTAGCAGGCTAATGCTCAAACCAATGAGCTATCCCCCCCCCCCCAGCCTGCACCCCCAGCCGGAGCCCTCATACCCCCCCCCACGCCAGCCCCCTGCATGAGCCTGGAACCCCTCCTGTACTCTGAATACCCCAGCCCCCTCCTGCATCCCAGAGCCCACACCCCCAGCCAGAGCCCTCATCCCCCTGTTCCTGAACTCCCTGCCCCAGCCCTGATCCCTCTCCCGCCCTCCGAACTCCTCAGTCCCAGCTCAGAGCACACTCCTGCACCCCAAATCCCTCATCCCCAGCCCCACCCCACAGCCCACATCCACCCCCCTTCCGCCTCCCAACCCACTGCATCAGCCCAGAGCCCCCTTCCACACCCTGAAGTCCTCCTTTCTGGCCCCACCCCAGAGCTTGCACCCCCAGCCGGAGCCCTCACCCCCTCTTGCACCACAATCCCCTGAGCCTGCCCAGTGAAAATGAGCGAGTGAGTGAGGGCAGGGAGACTGAGCAACAGAGGGAAGGGGGATGGAGTGAGTGGGGCATCCCCCCTCTCTTTGGCCCCACCCCTGCCCTGCACTCACTCCACCCCTGGGCTCCAGGGTAAGGCCAGAAATGAGGAGTTCAGGGTGTGGGAGCGGGCTCTGGGTCGAGGAAGTGGGTTGGGATGTGGAAGGGGGTGAGGGCTCCAGCTGGGGGTGTGGGCTCTGGGATGGGGCTGGGGGGTTTGGGGTGCAGGAGGGGGCTCCAGGCTGGGGAGTGGAGCCGAGGGGTTTGGGGGCTTTGGGGAGTGGGTACGGCTCTGGGCTGGGGGTCTGGGTTCTGGGGTGGGGCCAGAAATGAATGTTTCAGGGTGCGGGAGAGGGCTCCAGGCTGGGGCAAGGGGGTGGGTGAAGGCTCTGGCTGAGCATGTGGGCTCTGGTGTGGGGCCAGGGATGAGGGATTTGGGGTGCAGGAGGGTGCTTCAAGCTGGGGCTGAGGGGTTCAGAGGGTGGGATGGAAATCAGGGCTGGGATAGGGGGTTGGGGTGCGGAGAGAGTGAGGGCTCTGGGTGGGGGGCTCTGGGGTGGGGCCGGGGATGAGGGGGTTGGGGTGCAGGAGGGTGCTCTGGGCTGGGACCGAGGGGTTCAGAGAGTGGGAGAGAGATCTGGGCTGGGGCAGGGGGCTGGAGTGCAGGTTCCAGGCGGTGCTTACCTCAAGCAGCTCCCGGAAGCAGCAGCATGTCCTATCTCCGTCTCCTATGCGGAGGCGCAGCCCCCACAGCTCCCATTGGCAGCTGGCACTTGGGGCAGGGGCATCGTGCGGCATCCCGTGGCTTCCCCTACGTCTAGGCGCAGAAGAGGGGACATGCCACTGCTTCCAGAAGTTGCACAGAGCCATGGCAGGCTCTCTGCCTGCTTTAGCCCCGCTGTGCTGCCGACTGGACTTTTAGCGCCCCGGTCAGCGGTGCTGATTGGAGCCGCCATACTCCCTTTTCAACCGGGCGTTCCAGTCGAAAACTAGACACCTGGCAACCCTATCACTGGCACCCCACCTCCACATCACAGTGTTTGTATCACATGACAGTGCAGTGTTGCTCTGATAACAGCAAATAATTAAGCAATCAATTTGCAGACACCTAGAAGATAATAGGTGATAAGTAACAGTCAGCATGGATTTGCTAAGAAGAAATGTCAAACCATAACTGGTTGGAAAACTGTTTCCAGAGAGTAGTTATCAGTGGTTCACAGTCAAGCAGGAAGGGCATATCAAGTGGGGTCCCATAGGGATCAGTCCTGTGTCTGGTTCTGTTCAATATCTGCAGCAATGATTTAGATAATGGCATAGGGAGTACACTTATAAAGTTTGCGGATGATACCAAGCTGTGAGGGGTTGCAAGTGCTTTGGAGGATAGGATTAAAATTCAAAATGATTTGGACAAATGGGAGAAATGTTCTGAAGTAAATAGGATGAAATTCAATAAGGACAAATGCAAAGTACTCCACTAAGGAAGGAACAATCAGTTGACCACAAACAGAATGGGAAATGTCTGCCTAGGAAGGAGTGCAAAAAGGGATCTGGGTCTCATAGTGGATCACAAGCTAAATACGAGTCAACAGTGTTACAGTGTTGCAAAAAACATGAACATCATTCCAGGATGTATCAGCAGGAGTGTTGTAAGCAAGACACAAGAAGTAATTCTTCTTCTCTACTCTGTGCTGATAAGGCCTCAGCTGCAGTATTGTGTCCAGTTCTGGGCACCACATTTCAAGAAGGATGTGGACAAATTGGAGAAAGTCCAGAGAAGAGTAACAAAAATGATTAAAGGTCTAGAAAACATGACCTCTGAGGGAAGATTGGAAAAATTGGGTTTGTTTAGTCTGGAGAAGAGAAGACATGGGCGGCAGGTATAAGAGGCTTGGTGAGGCTTAGCCTCCTCACACAGGGCAAGAAATACCAGATGCAGGTGTGCCAGTCTGCTGCCTTTGGAGTGCCACCGCTGGAAGTTCCGGAGAACCAAGGAGGCCAGTGGCATCTGGACCAGGGTCCTTCCTGTGCTCCGCCCCTGCTCTGTCCTGATGCCCTGCCCATGCTGTGCCTCTTCTTCCCAAGGCCTGTCCTCACTCCACCTCTTCTCGCCCTAACTCTGCCTCTTTCCACCCTCGTTCCACCTCTTCCCCCCGAGGACCCTGCCTGCCACTCGCTCCTCTCTGCCCCCTTTCCCCCCATCGCTCACCCTTAAGGCAGGAGAGGGCAGAAGAGAGTGAGCGGTGGGGGCCTTGGAGGAGGGGGCGGAGATGTGCAAGTGACAGGTGGCGGGGGCCTCGGAGGAGGGGGCCGAGAGGACCGAGTGGCAGGGGGGCTTCGGGGGAGGGGTGGAGAGGAGCGAGTGGCTGGGGGGCTTCGGGGGAGGAGAGGAGTGGGGGAGGGAGCCTCAGGGGTGGGGGCAGAGAGAAGTGAGTGGTGGGAGGTGGCCTGGAGGGAAGGGGTGGAGAGGAGTGAGCAGTGGGTGGGCGGGGCCTTGGGGGAAGAGGCAGAGTGGGGGAGGGACGCAGACCCTCCACCTGCCCTGGGCCAGATGGGAAGCCCAGGGGGCTGCTTTCGTGCCCCCCCAGGGCAGCTTCCTGTCGTGGTGTTTGTCTTTGATGACAGCACTGGCTCCCTGTGTCGCATGTGACAGTGCCACATCCCCACATCATGGTATTTGCATTATGTCACATGGCAGAATGTACAGTAAGGGTCCAATGTACATCAAACTCTCCTAAACCTCTTGCAGGCTGAGTTTAAGACAGTCCTACACCCTTCCTCATTTGCCAATCATCTCTGCATGTTTACATAACCATGGAGACATTTAGATCATTTAGACATTTAGGTCTTGCAGGTGGATTTTGTAGTAAATTGCTACACTTCTCAGTCTGCAAACTGAAGAGCATATGACTGTGAAAAGAACAATTATTTATTTAAAGTCTTGGGGAAGTATTCAGGTAAGGGAGAAAAGCAGATGTAGTGCCAACCTTAGCTTCAGTAAGAGAAAGAAGGATGATTTGTGACTAGATGATCTAACAGGTTTTTTCCATCTCTAGATTCTTTGGCCAAATTCAGACCGGTTATGACTGGGCACAACTTAGCTGAATGTAATAATCTGTGTATCACATATCAAAGGGAGAGGTGGCATGTAGAAGACCATTATAGTATCAAAGGATCTCAGCATTTCTTTATTCTGGGTTCCCATTTATTCTGGGTTCCCATTGTTTCAGATTATAAATAGGTAAGAGATTGTATGATGCATCAGGGAGAGGTTCCTTCATATAGCACTTACGTGCCTGTTAGGGTTACCAGATGTCCCGATTTTATAGGGACAGTCCCGATTTTTGGGTCTTTTTCTTATATAGGCTCCTATTACCCCCCAGCCCCTGTCCCG